GTCTCTTTCAAGATCATTCTCCTCACATCATCTCTAATGTCCATCTTTCTGTGATTCTAGAGCAATTCTTTTTTTTACCTTTTTTTTTGGAAAGAGTTTCACTCTTCTCACCCAGGCTGGAGTGCAACGGTGTGATCTCAGCTCACTGCAAAATCTGCCTCCTGGGTTCAAGTGATTCACCTGCCTCAGCCTCCCAAGTAGCGGGGATTACAGGCATGCGCCACCATGCCCAGCTAATTTTTGTATTTGTAGTAGAGGTGGGGTTTTGGCATGTTGGCTGGGCTGGTCTCAAATTCCTGATCTCAGGTGATTCACCTGCCTCGGCCTCCCAAAGTGCTGAGATTACAGGCATGAGCCACCGTGCCCAGCCTAGAGCAATTCTTAAAGTAAAGCTGACACATATGTGCCAAGGCTCCCAAAGAGATGCTTTGAGAGAGAGAGGTGGCAAAGAAGTGTGTTAACACAGCTGGGACACAACCATTGCAAAGTATGAGTTAATCAGTAACAGGCAGGCAAAGGATAGTGTTTTGACACTGTCATTTTGCCTCCAAGTTTGTTTTGATGAGGTTGCAGAAAAAAATTATGATAGAAATAATCAACACAAAATAAAACTGCCAATGGCTAAAGCTACACATGGTGAAATTTACTATGGATAAAAAAGCAAACTGAATGATCCCATCTTTGTTGGTAACACTGCACTCTGCAAAGTTGTCCCCTGAGAAAATTCTACTTGGAAATAATCAATGCAAGATATATCTGATGGTTCAAATTACTGTCAGGACAAGGTGGACTTGGTAGAAACAATGACTAACAAAGAAATTTCATTATAACTGACCAATAATCAGTAAAAATTGATAAAATAAAACTGATGAATCGAATTTTTTCTTGTAAAATTCATATAGAATATATCTTTTACAAATATTTTTTAAAGACAGAGACTTGCTCTGTCACCTAGGCTTGAGTGCTGTGGTACAATCATGGCTTAATGCAGCCTTGAAATCTTGGACTCAAATGATCCTCTCACCTCTGCTTCCTGATCAGCTAGAGCTCACAGGTGTGTGCCACCACACCCAGCCAGTTTTTCCATTTTACTTATTTATGTTTTTGAGATGAAGTCTCTCTCTGTTGTCCAGGCTGGAGTGCAGTGGCATGATCTCTTCTCACTGCAGCCTCTGACACCCAGGTTCAACTGATTCTTGTGCCTCCACCTCCTGAGTAGCTGGGACTACAGGCATGTGCCACCACACTTGGCTAATTTTTTGTATTTTTAGTAGAGACAGGGTTTCACCATGTTGGCCAGGCTGGTTTCGAACTCCTGACCTCAAGTGATCCGCTCGTCTTGGCCTCCCAAAGTGCTTGGATTATAGGTGTGAGGCACCACGCCAAGCCCAATTTTTCTATTTTTAGAGGAGATGGGGGTCTCACTATGTTGTCCAGGATGGTCTTGAATTCCTCACCTCAAGGGATCCTTCTGTCTTGGCCTCCCAAAGTGCTGGGATTATAGGCATGAGTCACTGTACTGAGCTGCTAAAGAATATAACTTGATAAAAATTCAGTATAGAAAAATATCTTTAAAAGTTATAAATCATTTAACTGTGCTATATCAAAAATTTATCCAGGAATTAAATTGGTTTAGCAGAGTTAATTTCTTTAAAGCTTTCATAAATTCATTAATGTTGATGTAATTCAGAGTTGAAAGTTTACATGCCATGACTTTGCAGGGATTTGGAGAGAGAATTCTCAAATGGTTAGATGAAAGGTTTGGACTGTAAGTGGTATTTTACAGTCTTCAAAGCACTTTTATACCCATTGTTTTATTGGATTCTCCTAATAACCGTATGAGGTGGCAGGGCAGGCAGGACCCATTCCTTCCATTTTGTGGAGGTATTATAGACACTGAGATTTTGAAAAGTTAAGGGACTTACTAAAGGTCACCTGTGATGTTCATGGCAAGGTCTAATTTAGGATCTGATTCCCAGATTACTAGCCCAGTAAGCTTCTCATATCTATTTATTCTCCTAACTCAGATAATGCTTTACTTACTGGAGAGACCAGAACCCTTCTAATTTTGACCGCCCTGCCCCTACTTTTTGCCACTAGGAGAAAGAAGTGGGGAAATGGAAGAGAAGAAGTGCAGATGGGGTTTAGAAGAGGGCAAGGTCAATATAACACCTAAGAAGGGACTTGTTTGTCACATAGCCAACATATGATAGGTATCTTTCTCATTATTCTAAGAAAAGGGAGAAGGGGGGCTGAGATTTTAAGGCTGTGAGAATAGGATGTAAAGGGAGATAGGCAGTCTGGAAAAGACAGTGCCTGATGTATTTGAGGACAGTGAGTCCTGAGGGACAGGAGTCTAACTACAGTGAGGTAGGGTGAAGCTAGAGAGGCTGCAGCAGGATGAGGACTAAGTGATCCTCTGAGCTAAGCAACCTGGGATTTTTTCCTATAGGCCTATTGCAGAACTAAAATGTCCTGGTGCTTCTTACAGAACGCCAAGGAAAATGGCATATAAAATTGAAAATATCAAGTCCTGCTGGGCGCAGTGGCTCATGCCTGTAATCTCAGCACTTTGGGGGGCTGAGGTGAGCAGATCACTTGAGCCCAGGAGTTTGAGACTACCTTGGGCAACATGGTGAAACCCTGTCTCTATAAGAAAAAATAAAAAGAAAAAGAAAAATTAGCCAGGCATGATGGTGCCTGTAGTCCCTGGTACTTGGGACGATGAGGTGGGAGCACAGCCTGTAACCAAGGAGTCACTGCTGCAGTGAGCTGTGATCATGCCACTGAACTCTAGCCTGGGCAACAGAGTTAGACTCTGTCTCTTTTTTTTTTCTTTTCTTTTTTTTTTTTTTGAGACAGAGTTTCGCTCGTTTCCCAGTCTGGAGTGCAATGGCGCGATCTTGGCCCACCGCAACCTCTGCCTCCTGGATTCAGGCAATTCTGCCTCAGCCTCCCGAGTAGCTGGGATTACAGGCACGCGCCACCATGCCCAGCTAATTTTTTGTATTTTTAGTAGAGACGGGGTTTCACCATGTTGACCAGGATGGTCTCCATCTCTTGACCTCGTGATCCACCCGCCTCGGCCTCCCAAAATGTTGAGATTACAGGTGTGAGCCACTGGACTATGTCTCAAAAAATGAAAAAAGAAAAGAAAACATCAAGTTAAACAGAGCTTAAAGAAAAAACATTGTTAAATCAATAATCTGATACTACATTCTGTATTCTAGAAGAGTGGGACATAGGTGTCAGAAGAACAAAAAAACTTAAATGCAAGACATATATTCAGGCTACAGACCATGCTTTCTGTAGGCAGAGTTTCATAGACCCTTTACAATGACTCTGTTCCTCTCTCTTCACTCCCTCTCCCCACCATGATCTCTGGTTCACAGATTAGAAACTACTGCTATAATAATTCAGATATAAGAAAAATCAGTGTGTCTAAAATATGTTCTAGGGAAGGTAGGGCTTTGGCTTCAGTTTGAAGAATGAGTAAGAGAAAAGGAGAAAATGGGTGTGGAAAGACCAGAAAAGGACAGATTTTGAGAAGAGGCACTGAAAATTGAGAAAATTCTCCCTTCCAACTTTAGGAGTAGGAAGTGACCACTATTATCTGTTTTAATAATGGAACTGTTGAGCTCAGATACAAACCAGGTAGGCACAGTGCTGAAGCAAGAATGAGGCAATGAGAAGCATGGAAAGTGTCTAGGCAGTAAAGAAAGGTTGTTAGATTTGGAAATTATGTTTTTCGGAAGGAGTATAGCTTAAAAAATTGGCCAGCGTAGTGTGGCTTGTGCCTGTAATTCCAGCACTTTGAGAGCTGAGGCAGGAGAGTCTCTTGAGGCCAGGAGTTTGAGACCAGCCTGGACAATATAGTAAGAGGACGTCTTCTACAAAAAAAAAAAAAAAAAAAAAAAATTATGTGTTCCTTTTAAACAATTGAAACAATATGAAAATAAAAATTACAGCCGGGGCAGTGGCTCACGCCTGTAATCCCAGCACTTTGGGAGGCAGAGGTGGGCGGATCATGAGGTCAAGAGATGAGAACATCGCGGCCAACATGGTGAAACCCCATCTCAACAAAAATACAAAAATTAGCTGGGCGTGGTGGTGCACACCTGTAGTCCCAGCTGCTAGGGAGGCTGAGGCAGGAGAATCGCTTGAACCCTGGAGGCAGATGTTGCAGTGAGCCGAGATCCTGCCATTGCACTCCAGCCTCCGTCTCAAAAGAAGTAATAATAATTACGTGCAATCTGACACCCTTTCCTTCAAGATAATAATTGCTAATATTTTGGGGAACCTCTTTCCTGAAATCTCTCCAGGCTTATAGAATATTGTGTCAAACCTCAGATAAATTGAACCCGTCTAGACAAGTTGTTCTGTAATCAATTTTTTTCCCTCAAGAATAAATTGTAAATAGCTTTTCAAGTCAATAAATAGACCTATATCATCATTTTAAATGGCTCCTTAGTATTGCATTGTATGTATATGTCACACTTTATTTAAACAGCACCCTATTGATGAACATTTACTCCCCCCCATAATTAACTACCTCATATAACAATTTGTGCATTAATCTTTTCGAAATTGTTCGATTATCTTTTTAAGGTAAATTCTTAAAAGTAATAAAGCTGGGTCAAGAAGTATGCCCTTTGTACGTTTGTATTCAAGTTGCCGAATTGTCCTCAAATTTGCAGGGAGACCCGCGAGGAAGCTCCGGCATTAGTTCTGGTGAGAGACAGCTGCAACGGAGATGGCGAAGGAAGAGCAGAATCATAGGTGATCTAGCCCATCAAGGGGCTGGATCGGTGGGCTGGCATATTCCTTCCCTTTTTCCTTTCTTTCACTTCTTTTTCTTAATATGGAGGAAGAACCAAGAACTTCATCTCCCAGCATTTCACAGGGAACACACTCCCTGGGAAGTGTAGTACCGGGTCTGAGAAGGGTACGGAAGGAGGGTGGGAAGCTGAGAGGCATGCTGGGAGGTGTAGTCGAGAGAGAGGGAGAGAGACCGAGAGAGCGAGAGACCGAGGAGAGAGAGGGAGTGTGTGTGTCTATGCAAAGAAGATGGAGACACTGCGAGCACTGCCCCTTGGGGTTGGGGCCTCGGGCGATCCGACTTTCCTCACAGGTGGTCTTTGAGTCTACAACATCTGCCAGCGGATGGTTGGCTTTATTCCATTGTCCGTGACCAGAGAGGGCGCGGCCCCTCTGTACCGGGCTCGAGGCGGGAGGCGCAGGCCGCGCGCAGGCCAAAGCAGGGCATGCCGGGAGTTGTGGTCCAGGCGCTCTGAGGCTGTGGGACGTGTCGCGGCGCCGCGCCGGCTCCTCCTTCCCCGCCCTTCTCAGCGGTCCCCCGCCTCCTCCCTCCACCTCCTCCTCCCTCGCCTGCAGCCGAGCGTCCCCTCCCCCCAACCCGTCGGGCTCCTCGGCGGCTACTGCAGAGGATTCAGAGCCGAGTCGCTGAGGAGGAGGAGGCTCCGGTCCCCGCGTGCCATCCTCCACCCTGCTGGACACGGGCGAGGGAGCGAGAGCGTCGCCGCCGTAGCCTTCGGAGAAGACAAGGGCATCGTCGCCTCAGCCGCCGCCGTCGTTTTCGCCTGCAGCTGCTAGCCGGTGAGGAGACTCCCCCCGCCGCCCGGTCGGCTCGTCCTGAGCCTGGGCCGGTTGTGCTGGCGAGAATGAGAGTGGGGGCTGCCGAGCCTCCGCGCAGGTTTGGGGGAGGGGGTTGAGGTAGCGATGGAACAGCAGGCTGGCGGGGGAGACTTGTCCAGACGCTGGCTGGGGTGGGGTGAGGGTGGGACCCAAGCAGGTTGGGGGGCGGGCGACGAGGGAGGAGGACTTTTGATGGAGAATAATCCAACCTGGAACCGGAGAGTGGGGTGGGGGCGTCGGATTGGAATTCGGGATGGTCTTGGGGCGAGGTGGAAGATGAGACTAGGGTGGGATGGCTTCTAATGGGGGAGGGGACTGAATGAGGGTGGTGATTTGGGGTTGGCCTGGAGCAGTTGACAGCTTCGGATCTGAGCTGGGGTGAGGGGTAGGAGAATGATTTCAGTGGAGAGTGAGTAACAGATACAGGATAGGACCTGTATCTGGTTGGATAGGACCCTGAGGAGTGTTAATTCAGGAGGGTGGAATTTGGGGTGGACCTGGAGCAGGGTGATGGAGGTAACAGGAGCTGGGGGTGAGGGGCTTGGCAGGTGTTGAGACTTGAGCTTGAAGTGGGTGTTTGTTATCTGGGGCTGGTGAAATTTGTGGAGACTTACGGAATAGCATGCGTTAGAGCAGAGAAGTGCAATTTGGGGGTTTCCTGGGGTGGGCTGATCGAGGTTGGAATAGGAGTTAGTGGAGGTGGGACATTCAATGAGGGGAGTGTGATGGTGAGCTGACAAGAAGGAGTCAAATTGGAAGTCAGGTCCAAAATGGGAGAACAGGATGGAAATCGAGCGAGGGGCACAGTGGGTTGGATTTAGGATCTTTCAATCAGTGGAAAGGGCATGGTGGCTCCTTGGTTGCAGGGTCAAGGCAGAGGACACATAAAACATCCCTGGGCTGCATTAATTGAAAGGATAGCGGCAGGTGGTGAGCAAAGTTGGGGGATGGTATCTTGAAGAAAATGTCCCTTGGCCAAGGTGGCAGAGGGAGTTTGGAAGGATTTTCAGAGATGAGCTGGTAGGCCTGGAGAGGTGATTGCTGATGAAGAAGTGGCACAGGGCAAATTTAAGGAGTAGGAGACCTGGTATGGATGGGGCAGAGAGGATGGAGAGGGACAGTGAGCTGTGGTGGGGAGGGGGAAGTGGGTTGGATATTTTGGATGTGAAGGATTGGGATGACCTCCAGGAGACCCGTGAGGGTTAAGGGTTGGAATACTTAAATGGACAGTTTTGGTAGCTGTGATTGAAGGAGAGGCAGTAAGGCTGTTGTTAGAGGGGACTTTGCAGCAGAGACAGAAGAGACCTCATTCTTAGGGGCCATTTTAAGCTGTTCGTTTGATCTTTTTGTTTGTTTTATTTATATTAGTATAATTTGGAAGTCAAGTCAGCCCAAAGGGTAAAGTTGGAAAGGACTTTAGTTAAGGTAGAATTAAGGAGGGGAGGGTGTCTTCTGTTATTTGTAGATTATAAAAAGAAAGTTGGGGGAAAGAAAGCATACTTCCAAACTAAAGGTGGGGAGAAGATAAACTGGAATGTAATAGGTATCTTTCTGTTTGATGTCTCTGCCTTCTCCTTTCCCCTCTCCTCCTGGTGTGTTTAAAAACTATACCTGGAATTTTAAATAGATTTGGTGAGCTTGAGATTGTTAAGGGTGCATTCCTTGCTTGAGAACTAATGAGTGAGCCTGAAAAATATGAGGCTGAATTTATTTTGTAGGTAGGCAACATGCACATAGGCAAAAAGAGCTTGGGCCTTTTTTACCCCCTCTTAAAATTAGGGGGTTGATTTGATTGCTTGAAGACGCCATTTGTTAGTGTCCTGGTTTGCAAGGCAATTAGGCCCATCATTGTATTGCAGGCTAATAATCCTGAGATGAGTCTTGGCACCACTGCTTTATGTAAACAGAGAGAAGACAGGAAATATGGAAATGTCATAAATATTCATTGGTGAGATGGTTTGGTACTGATGGAGTTTTTCATATGATTGTTTTTGGCATTGATAAGATTTAAAATAATTGGATTGTATTTCTAAAGATTGAATTTTCTTCCAAAGGAATTCAGGTGATCAGAATTCTGTCAGATGTGAATAAATAAAGCATATTAAGTCATTTTTATTTTTTTTAGGGAATGATGTTGATGTAGGTGCATTGTATTAACTAGAGAAACAGCATCTCCATCTATTCATCAGAAATTCGATTTAAACCTTAATGATATACTCATTCTTATGGCAGAATAGTGATAATGGAAGGTACAGAGGAGTGTAAATGGAGGGAACATCTTTAGAGAAACAGTTCTGGACCTAATTGCATTAACTGTGATGATATGTTAAACATAAAGTGGCTGTTGATTAGAGCTCAGACTGAAAAAAAATGAGGAGGGATGCAAACAAGACAAAATCGACACCATTGGGATTGAAATAATTCTTTTTGTTTTTGTTCAAGCTTCAGAGTTTAGCTCACAAACAAACCATTTTCCGTGGCTTTCACAATTGAGCACACAAAAATATCCATTTAGAATACTTTTTTTTAGCTCCAAAATGGGCAGAATGGTGGAAAGTTGGACTTATCCTTTGAATTGAAAGTGTTTTATAATAAGGAAGCTTTCTGTATTACAATAAAAATCAGGTTTGAGCAGTTACCTGTAATTCAATGAGACTGTAATCTAATGCAAGCATTTCTCTCTAACTTTACTCTGGGGTCTAGACATTGTTTTTGCAGATCTGCAGGCTTGGTCTAGAGGTGAGATGTTTATATTAAAGCTCTAGCTTTTGAAAGCTCAAAATGAAAAGTAATTGCCTGGGAGAAATGTGCTGATGGATTTTATTTTTCCACAGTGTGGTCACCTGTGCAGTAGTAATGTTTTTGTATCTTTACCTCATTTGATCCTTCAGATACCCTGGTGAGAAGAGAGCAGATGGAGGTATTGGTAGACAGAAGCCTTGGTGGAATGAATAGCCCATGAGTTTAGGAGTCAAGAGTCCTGGATTCAAATCTCAGTTCTACTACTTGAAAGCTGAGTGATTACAGTTAAGTCATTTAAAACCTTTCATGTGGCCAGTTGAGGTGGCTCATGCCTGTAGGTCCAGCATTTTGGGAGGCTGAGGCGGGTGGATCACTTGAGATCAGGAGTTTGAGACCAGCGTGGCCAACATAATAAAACCCTGTCTCTACTAAAAAATACAAAAATCAGCCAGTCATGGTGGTGGGCATCTGTAATCCCAGCTACTTGGGAAGCTGAGGCAGGAGAATTGCAAGAACCCAGGAGGTGGAGGTTGCAGTGAGCCAAGATTGTGCCATTGCACTCCAGCCTGGGCAACAAGAGCAAACTCTGATTGGGAAAAAAAAAAAAAAAAAAGCAAAAAAACAAACCTTTTATATCTAGTGGAAATGATTGCACAACATTGTGAACATGCTTAATACCACTGAATTGTACCTTCAATTTGGTTAAAAAGGTAAAAATACACACACACACACACACACACACACACACACACACACACACACAAACCTTAAAAACCAAAAAAACTAGCCAGCCACAGTGGCTCACACCCGTAATCCCAGACTTTGGGAGGCTGAGCCAGGAGGATTGCTTGAGCTTAGGAGTTCGAGAACAGTTAGGGCAACATAGGGAGACCCTGTCTCTACAAAAAATGAAAAAATTAGCTGGTGTGGTAGCATACACCTGTAGTCCCAGATACTCAGGAGGGAGGTGGGAGGATTGCTTGAGCTAGGGAAGTCAAGGCTGCAGTGAGCCATGATCTTGCTTCTCTTTACTACAGTCTGGGTTACAGAGTGAGACCCTTTCTCAGAATCAAACTTTCATACTTCAGAAGGCTGTCAAGGGGAGCAAACCAGTTCATGTACTGAAAACACTGTACATATATGAAATATCTGTTCACTATTTATTTAATGAATGTCTGCTAAGTGCCAGGGGAAATAAAAATGAACAGAAAGCAGTTGTCAAGGAGCTTTCAGTGTCATGGGAAAGATAGACAATTTAAATATGGTGAGAAAAGTGTGGCAAAATGCTGTGGTTAAGTGCTATGGTTAAGTATAGGTTTTGAAGTCTGTCTTACTACTACTTCTGCTGTGTGATGTTGGGCACAATGGGCTTATTTGTAAAGTGGGGATAATAGAATTAATATCATAGGATTGTTTTGAGGGTTAAATAAGATAATCAATAGGAAGCATTTAACATTATATGTTATATAGTACACATTAAAAAATATTAGTTATTGCCATTATTGTTAGAAAGATAGGCAGAGGCCAGAATGGTCAATAGCCTTGTGTCCTTGAGTTCTTAGTATTGTGGTATTTATTACTAAGGTATTACTTTGTATTATGATCTCATGCATATTCGGATGTTTACAATCTAGGAACTTTAAACAGTTCTTTAAATGCCAGGCAAAGTCCTAAACAGACCTTAGCTGTTAGCTTCCTTGTTAATCAAATAAGAAGAAAAATTATGCCCTGAGAGGTTAAATGACTTAAGGTTACACAGTAAATGGAAAAGTCTGGGTTACAGCCTCCAAATTCTCATTTGTCAACCCCATTGGTATCCTTTTTTTAAGTTGCAAAATATGTTCTATGTATGAAAGTATGTTTAACATAAACCCACAATTTAAAGAATAACAAATTGAAGACTTTTCTACTTGTTACCCAGCTTAACAAAAAGATTTCTAGTACGTTTAAAGTCTCTGGTGAGGTCCTACTTGATTGAATCTCCCACCTTCTCTCTCCCTCAGAGGTACAGAGTTTCCTAAATTTTATGTGAATAATTTCTTTGCTTTTCTTTATATTTTTACCAAACATTTTCATATCCCTAAACAGTGTAGTTTTTTTTAACTTTGCTATTTAACTATAACTATTTATGAATAGAATTATAGGGTAAATATTCTGACTTGCTTTATTCTTATTTTTTAACTTTAAAAAAATTATTTTTTCCACCATTAAATAATGTCTGCTCATGATAGAAACTAGAAATTACAAAAAGTAAAAAGAAGCAAAAGTATTGTTTTTAGTCCCATTTCCCCAGTAATATATATATATATATATATATATATATATATATATATTTTTTTTTTTTTTTTTTAGAGACAGGATCTCACTGTATTGTCCTGGTCAAGTGATCCTCTTGCCTTGGCCTCCGAAAGTGCTTCCAAATTCAGGCATGTGCCATCATGCCTGGCTAGCAAATGCTTTTTAGAAAATATTTTATGCCACATGTGGCCTCTGTTCTTTCTCCTCCCTTTCACTCCTCTTCCCTTTCATCTCCCTTTCTCACCGTTTTTCTCCTTCTGCCAGCCCTTCCTCTTGCTTCTTCTCCCCATTCCTTCTTCTCCCACCCCTTCTCTTTCTCCTCCTTTTATGTGGTTTTAAGAATGTAAAAACTCACAGGCTTTACAAAAATGGACCATAGGCGGGCCATAGCCTGCCAACCCCTGGTATATTAACAGAATCAACTCAAAGTTATAGAATATTGAAGAGCAAAGAGACTAAACCAAGTTCATATTTCTTATTTTATTTTGTTAAATTTAGTTCCTTGGGCAGTTATGCATGTCTTTAGCATCAAAAAACAACTGTGTCAATTTTTTTTTGGTCAAATTACACTTATCTAAAAGTTTAACATTTTATTAAATGAGCCATTAGTGTCTGTATGAAGACAGTTAGAAAACCTTAGTTTATAAAGTTCCAATACACCTCCTTTTCCTGCCAGTGAGGCAGATGTCTGGGTCCTTTCAGAATATGCTTATTTTATGATGATACAGGTTGTGCTTTTTCTTAGATATAGACATTTTGAAGGAATCCTGAAATGATATATTTTTCACAGTAAACTTCAATACTTAGCTGACTTGAGACCATGATCTTGATTTGCCTTCTGGTCATGTTCCTCAAGCTTGATGATTTCTGCTGATGCTCATATTTCTTTTCTTTTTTTATTTTTATTTTTATTTTTATAAAGACGGGGTTTCAACATGTTGATCAGGCTAGTCTTGGACTCCAACCTCAGGTGATCCGCCTGCCTTGGCCTTCAAAGTGCTTGGATTACAGGTGTGAGCCACCACGCCCAGCCCTCATATTTCTTTTCTAGCCTCTGTTTTTATAATTTTCTTAGTATTTTAGTTTCTTCCTCTGTCTTTTCTTTTGATTTGATAGCATATCTCTATCAGTAAATAACAATTAGGCTATTTATACTTATGCAAATATAATACTATTTTGTTTGATCTGGTTCTTAGGTTGGTCATGTGGTATTGTTTTCATTTTAAGGATGAAGAAATTAAGTATCTAAGAGGGTAGCTGTGTGCAGTGGCTCACACCTGTAATCCCAGCACTTTGGGAGGCTAAGGTGGGAGGATCACTTGAGACTAGGAGTTCAAGACTAATCTGATCAACATAGTGATATCCAGTCTCTACACAAAATTAAATTAGCTGGATGTGATGGCATGCATCTGTGTTTCTAGCTATTTTAGAGGGTGAGGTGGGAGGATCACTTGAGCCTGGGAATTTGAGGCTACAGTGAGCTATGATCATACCCACTGCACTCTAGTGTGGGCAAGACTATGTCTCAACAAACAAACAAATAAAAAGATTCAAGATGGTCATTTGTGTCAGGCCTTAAGAAGGGAGTTCTTAAGGAAAGACAAAAGGTACCTAACATTTGAGTATCTATGGCAGGCAATATGCTGGGTGCTTTCTCTTCCTTACAGATAGAATTTAATTCTCATATTTCTACTGTATGAGGAATTGTGACCATTTTACAGAAGAAGAAACTGAAACAACTGAGGCATATAGTGATTAACTAGTTTGCATTTATTTACATAGCTAGTAAGAGAAGAAAAGCTCGTATTAAATAACCTGATCTGCCTTGCTCCAGAGCCATTGTTCTTTTTGTTGTACTGCATGTAAACCTTCCTGTTTTTAAATTGTTAAATCAGTAGTCTTTTTTTTTTTTTTTTTTGAGACAGAATCTTGCTTTGTCTCCCAGCCTGGAGTGCAGTGGTGCAATCTTGGCTCACTGCAACCTCCTCTTCCCAGGTTCAAGCAATTCTCCTGCCTCAGCCTCTCAAGTAGCTAGGACCACAGGTGTGTGCCATCATGACTGGCTAATTGTTTGCATTTCCGGTAGAGCTGGGGTTTCATCTTGTTGGCCAGGCTGGTCTCAAACACCTGACCTCAGATGATCTGCCCACCTCAGCCTCCCAATGTGCTGGGATTATAGTTGGGAGCCACCATACCCAGCCTAAATCAGTAGTTTTCAACCTGCTTCAACAGGTAGTATCTGGCTGCTCTTTAGAATCATCTGAGGAGCTGTTTAAAAAAAAGACGAGTCAGTTTTACTCTGGACCAGTGTTAGCAAAACTTCTGTAGGTGAGCATAAGGCAGATGTGTGTATATTCATATAGAAAATATACATTAAATTCAGTTGAGGTATGTATAACATGTAGAAAAAAATACACAAAAAGTATAACCAACATTCAGATCAAGAAAGGAAACATACTCTCCTCCAAGAAAACCAACAACTTTCAATAATACTGTTGATTATTTTTGCCTGTTTATGATGTTTTATAAGGTATGACTGGCTTTTCACATGCAATATATTTGTGAGATTCATTTATGTTCTTGTATTTAGGTATAGTCTGTTCTTGCTTACTGCTGTGTAGCAACAATTCTCAAACATTTTGGTGGCTTCACATTCAAACTTATTGACGACTCCAAAGGACTTTTGCTAGCAGTGGTGCAGTCATGGCTCACTGTAGCCTTGACCTACTAGGCTGAAGTGATCCTTCCACCTCAGCCTCCCAAGTAGGTGGGACTACAGGCATGTGCCACTATGCCTGGCTATTTAAAAATTTTTTTGTAGTGACAGGATCTCACCCTGTTGCCCAGGCTGGTCTCGAACTCATGTTCAAGCAATTCTCCTGCCTCAGCCTCCCAAAGTACTGGAATTACAGGCATGAGCCACTGTTCTCAGCTGTGTTAGCATATTCTAATGAAAACACGTGTTTTATTCTAAGTGAAAAAAATT